TCATGATTCATGGCAGTACTTGTAAAAAACAGCACATCTACTTGTAACCAGGGTACAATATATTTGAAAGCCACAATGTACATTGCAGAATTTTTTAACATAAATACTCTACTTTTCAGATATGCTGTGAAACTGCAACTACTATAAAAATTGATGGGTCTCACACTGAAGTAATGTAGTGCTACTTGTCTAAAGTAATGTAGAGCCACTCATTTACTCTCACAAGTACATTTATTGTGAGGACATGCATGCTTCAAACTACGTTCACAGCAAACTTTACAGGTAACACTAAACAAACTGCCTCACACTTTCTGGTGAGTTTAAAAGGTAACCAGACAAGCATCTTTACACTGATAATATGTCACTGAAGCATCTGAGAGCAGAGCAACCAACTTGACTAGTGCTGACTCCAGTGAAGCGGGTACTGCAGGCAGTTTTTTGAGCATATATTTTGCCAGAGGTTAATGCAGATGTTTTGCCCCCTCTAGCAAAAGCCTTTTCTTTCTTCTGCTTTTCCTTTCTTTTTTTTCCTTTTTCCTCTTTCCTTTTCCTCTTTTTTCCTTTCTCCACCATTTCACTCAATTGGGTAAAAGCAGACAAACAGTGAAAATGACAGGGCTAAGACAGAAATAACCTTCAGTGGGGCTGCCAAGTGAGATAGGCACATCCAACAGGGAGCAGTAAATATTTCCACCTGGATGATGGTGATGATGAGCAGGTTAGTCTGCCTAGCTGTGCCTCATGCCCCAGTGAACTCCAAGAGTCAGGAGCATTCAGGAGGGTTGAGTGCAGTGAGGATGAGCAGGGGAACAGAAAGCCTCTCTTACAGAAGGAGGCTCATAGACACAGGTCTGATAGTGTCCATCCAATAAAGACAACAAGGGAAGAAGATGGTTCTTAATTAGTACACCAAGAGTGAAAAACTGAAAAATGGTCACTCAAGGTATAGGACAAGACTTGCTTAAAAACAAGTGGGTATAAAATTCCTGTGAGTCAGTTCAGGTTAGGAATCAGGCAGAAGTTTCTAAGAGCAAAGCAAGTGAGGCTCTGTAGAGCCCTTCAGCTGTTACTCTGGCTACAGCTACCATCCAAATGTTCAGCCTAATATTTGTGGGAAAGCAATATTGTGGCTGGCCACATCTCAGTCTGCCACTCCTCCTCTGTGTGCACCCCCTGGCACATCCCCATTGCAGGAGCTTGCAGGGAAGAGGGCCAGGAGCAGCAGGAAAGCATTTGCTCCCAGAATGCCAACTGAGGGATAAAATCATCACTGACCGTGGAACTTGCACGTGGGGAAAATGGTAAGGAGCCAGAGCCAGAGGATGACACCAGAAAGGAAGAGGCTGGTGTGAGGGAGAGGTAGGCTTTGTTCTCATGCTCTAATCAAGGCTTAGCTGGGTGCTATTAAGCAGACATGATTCGATGTTAAAACTGTTCAGACATCGTGGATAATCAGGCCAGCCAAGTTCAGATTTTGAATGTGAAGAAGGAAGCCATGCAAAGAAAAGTGTTGCAGGGTTACAATTTACTTTCTCTGAAGCATTTGCAAATGATATTTTTCCTGGGGCTCAAGAATGTTTGGCAGGGCCAGGATGGCAATGGTCAACTGAGAAAAATAAACATTCTAACCCAGATCAGCATCACCAGCTCTGTAACTATAAAAAATAATTAATTTGCTTAGCACTTCAAACTCAGTAAAACACAAAACCTCAATGGCCACTGCACTTGAAAGCTCTTCAGATTAAGGCAGTGTGGAAATTTCCCCAGGCTCTGCTTGAACACGTAAAGTGTAGTTGACTTTTAGTCCAAGCAAGACAGGTTTTTGTAACTTAACACATTTTCAAAGTGGGGAGTGTCCACACATGGAGTTACTCTGCAGTAACTAACTGCCCACACAGGCCAGCCCTAGCAGCTAACACTGGAAGCAGGCATTTTCAGTATTCAAGCATAGGGCCTATAAACATTTACTCACTTATTCACTCACTCTGTTCCATGCAGGTGAAGGTATCTATCAGGTTTTGTGGGGTTGCTCATGCACATGCCAAAGTATTTACAGGACTGGAGCCCTGATTTGTAGAAAGGCATGGGTGTTACTCCTCCAGTACCACCTCAAAGGAAAATACTAATGCCTGGACTGGGTAAGTGCATCCCACCATCTCTCCCATCCCTCTGATACGTTTGGCTGTCACACTCCCAGATAATGCACATGTGTTCAGTCATACACAAACCCTACAGCACCCCTTCCCCCCATGGAAAAGTCAGCCAGCTGTTACAAAATTCAGACCTTTCATTAACACAGTTTAGTGGCTGATACTGCCAAGCAAAACAGAGACAATTAATAATAATCAGGACTGAAGGGTTTGAGACAGCTTATGAGTAAAGGATTGTATTAGCTGTTTAAAAAGGACAAACTTGCTCCTGCCTGGAGTGATAGGGAACAAAGGGCGGTGATGTATAACCAGGGAGGGAAGAGACTCTCTCCGTGGCTTTTGTAGATTACTGTGTGAATGACAGGAGCGGCAGGAGCAAATACCTCTTTTCATTTGCTCAGCCTGCTGGAGAAGAATAGCAGCGCTTGCCAATGAAGCTGCAGCTGTGCTTCAGCGCCGCTTAATCACTGTGTATGACTGAGGCTAAATTAGCTGCCATTCTTACTCCTATTTGTTGTTCTAATGAAGATTTGCATAAATGTAAGAGTAGGGGGTAACTGATACTTGATTCTTGGTTTCGGAGGCCAGGGTGGAAGACTCGCCCATCCTGCTTGTTTATGTTTGTGGGAGATTCAATGTTGCCTTTCCATTTGACCTGATCTGCTTCTGGCTGATGAATGGTGGAAAAAAAGAGTTCAAAGTTGCTTATCAAATCGAGACCCCTCTTGTGTTTCTGCCTTTAGAAAAGGGCAGACTAGTTAGATGAAGGGATTAGACTGAGGGATTAGAAAATTACTCCTAGCTGTAAAAAATATATATGCTTGTTTCTGTAGCTACTTATATGTATATACGTGATATACTTCAATGGCATATGTAACAGCGACATATCTTTCCATCCATCCATCCATCCATCCATCCATCCATCCATCCATCCATCCATCCATCCATCCCTCCATCTGATGGTAAGTGACCAATATTTTTTTAATGATAAGATATCAGAAAAAATCATATTAGGCAATATGATGAAAAGTAAGGACTTGTAAATTTCTGCAAGACTTCTGTTGTCCATCACTAACATTCAAAGTTTACTTTTAAATAAAAGAATATCTAACACAAAACAGGCAATTACCAAGGAAGGCAAAAATTACTCAGCACTTCAAAAATATGTGCCACCAGTGCCTTGTGAGACTGGGATTCAAATTAAGAAATTGTGCTAATTCATCAAAAAAGGGGAAAATTTTACCATGAAGCAGTGAAAAAATCCAAAACTACTTCATAATTAAACAGAAGATTTGAAAATTAAATGCCATAAAATTGCTTTATTTACTTTGGTCAAGACAATGCCTATGGCTGCTAACTGAAAGAGGCTAAATGGAAGAACCTCCCATCTTTTGTGTATTAACTTGCTCTACATGGTAATACGGTATGGATAACTGTTTTCAGTATTCCTCTTACACACTTGATATGCTAAAACTGTTGTTTGACAGCATCTGTAAGGATTTAAGATTAAGAAGGCATAAGTAGTGAATTTCTAAATTTCAAATCACTGCTGGAAACTGTCCAGCTTTAAAGATGACTGTATCCCTCCAAAGAGAGTATCTATTCCTACAGGAGAGCACGCATTCACTGCCCATTTCTCAATCTCTACACAGCTTTGCAGTGTCTCTAGCTCTTTAGTAGTCTCTAAGACACATGAGCAAATATTAATTTGGTTCTTGTAACTTCTGTCATCTATCTGCCTGACTACCCACAGACACTTCTGCATATTTTTGGCCAAACACTAACAGAAATCAATCTTTCAGAGACGTTAGCAGAGAGCATTCAATCCACCTGAAATAAATGTGCCTAAAATGGTAACACTCTATCACTCCACCTCCCAGCTGAAAGGAACACCACAGGTTTCAATGTTCTATACAGAAACAAACCCACATGAAAATAAAAGCAGTCAATCACATCTTTGCTTGTTCTCACCTTATTTTGAGTTTTGAAATATTTCAATACTCTATTACAGCTTTTTATTCAGCCCCTGATTATGCCAGAATCTCACATTCTGCCCCTTTCAAAGCAATTTTTAGACCTTTTTTAATTTGCCCCTTTAGGGCAAATTAAAAATAATATTGAAGTGTATAATAAAAAACAAACCAGCAACAACCCTCATGACATATAAACAGATCACATAGTTTTTCTTCAATGATTCTTTAGTAATTTCTATATATTATGGTTTTCCAAGGCTACAGTCAGAATTATGTGTTTGTAAATAGGGTAAGAGAAAGTGGAAATTACAGACCTAGTGGTCAATGGCATAAAACAAATCTAAAAGAGCTGAGGGGAGAGGTTAAGTGCTATGCTAGTTAATAAGAATGACAGCTTGCTTTGAATACTCATGCTGGCTGTCCAAGATATTGAATAAACCTCATTTAAACTAATTTTCATTATTTGTAGAGTCTGCATTAGGCATCTATCATTGTCTGTGCTATTAATACTCTTTTCAGAGACCACATTATCAGCATATTTAAATGAAAGCTTTCCTTTTCAATATTTATTAACTCATTAATATTTCTTGGTGGTAATATCCTGGTTGTAATATCCAAATTATACGTACTAAGGTATTTTCTACTGATCAAATTTTCTGAATTAAATTTTTTTTTTCCTCCAGTACTAAAACTGCACTTGAGCTTCTGAAATTCTGCTTTCTTTTTACATTATTTATATGAATAGCATCTAAAATTTACATTTTTGTGGGTTTTTTTTTCAGTAGGTACCTGTAAACCAGAGCACTAACCAGATATTACCGAGCTGACCAAATGTGAATGACAAATGAATGAGGATATGAAAGTTAATTCATCTTACCGGGGTTACAGTCTGTGAGGAGGGAGCAGATGGAGAGGAGAACTTTAGAAATGGTTAACGCTGGACTCCAGTTGTCCTTTAAGATGTCCAGGCAGATGACGCCTTGGCTGTTAATGTTGCAGTGGTAGATCCTTGTCCGGAAGGTGACCTGGAAAGGACAGTAAGTCTCAGTACAACAGTGTTCAAGCCAGTAATGGCACAATTATTAAACACTGAAAAACCATAGGAACAAACATCCTGCTTTCCAGGCTGCTACTGATGGTTGAAGACTGGGCAAGACAAAATAAAGGAAATAAACTCTGCCTCTTGCAACTGTGGCCAGCAGTGAAACTGGTTTGTGCAGGCTGAGAGTAGGATGCATTTCCAGAGCTTCCTCCTGCCTTGGTCTTATCAATCTCATTATTTTGTATATGGCAAAAAAAAAACCCCAACAATTCCAGCCCCTAATCTGGACAATGTTCATAACTCAGGTGCACAGCTCTTTCACACTTTGAAGGAAGGCAGAGCAAGACAGATTCTTTTACTGTCTTCATCTGTTCATCTTTTGACACAATAGATTAAGCTGTAAAAAAAGCAGAGGCATCACAGCAGTGACTCCTGAAAAAATTGAAGTGAAATATTTTGAAGAAAGGCTGCTCAAATAAAATGCTTTTATTTCCAAATTTTAGGTTACATTTTTATCAGTAGAATTGTTTACAAACACCTTTGGGTTTTTTTTAATAGTTTATTTTGATGATTTCTGTATCTATTTTATATGGTCTTCCAGGTGATCCTATAGGTAACAAACCAAGGAAATTATTTTAGCCCAGAATAATGTCCTCTTTTTTCAAGGTGAAGACACAGGCTTTTTATTTTAAAAGAAGCTCAGCTAGGAATGTTGACTTCATAGCTCAGAATGAATACTGGGGCTACTGGATAAGAAGGGAAAATGTGAAAAAAACCACAGGAGGTCATCAAGGACTAATTTCTCCATCAGTTCTACGCAAATGACAAGTCACTTCCAGGTGGTTTCAACGACATGTTCCAAAAATCTAAAATTAAGATGTAGAACTTCAGACATCTACCTCCCCAGCAACAGCCCTGCCAGGAGAGGGGCTGGGCAGGCAGGAGACAACAGCAGGCAAAGCATTCCCTGACTCAGGGAAGCTGTGCCCTTCCCTCCTCTGGGACAGTGCTAATGTAAGTGGGAGTGCCTACAAACCCACCCTGCCCTTCCACAGATAAATCCCTGTCTGGAGAGTAATGCAAACTGGTGACAGGCAGGCTGCTCTTCTGATTTTCTTCAATATCAGAGATCTCAGTGATCTGAGAGGGATTATCAGGCCACTCAGCAAGCAGAAGAGAGAATACAAGTGAAATAATACAGTACCTGGTTTACTTCTATTAAAAAAAACCTACAGAAATCATTCTCTAGCACACTGAAAAATTCTGCGCCTTTGTATTAAATCAAGAAGCTTGGACAAAATAATGGAAAGAAAAGATAGTAGATTTATGGTATTAAAACATTGCATTCAACAATAAATACTTTTTCTCATAAGTACTTTTCCACATAGATCTGGAAAAATGCTTTGGAGCCCATTGTCATGCACCAGTGAGTTCTGCACCAAAGAACTAAGCAAGTTCATCAGTTTTTAGATGCTTCTATATTTAAAGGTATTGATAATTAATTGGATAATTCAACAGTTTGCTACTCCATACCCTACATATTTATAGGTTTTCTCATGTTTCCTGTTCACTTGCAGTTTTGCTTATTGTTTTCCAGCCTAAGTGCTTCACTTCTGGGACTTCTCTAAGAATTTAAAATATTTCTGGTGCAATCATCTCAATTAATCCAAATGCTTTAGCCAGATGATCTATTTTCTCCCCCTCATTAGAAGCCTAAGCACATTCAGCATTTGGAGGGAAGTCTTCTGTGAGATCAAAATGTTATTTATTTAAATAATTATAATTTGGTGATAAAATTAAATGTCTGTGTACAAACGGAAGCTATTTTGAACAAGGAAGGTTACTAATGCTCAAAAGCCATTAACTACTTTACACAAAGTGCCCAGAAAGGGAGATAGTGTGGAGGACCATCCTAGGAATTGCAGGTACTCATTTATTCCCTAGGTAGATTAACTCCAGGAACTCTTATACTCCACTTAGAAGTGAATCAGTGACTGCTCCCTAGCAGGATGTCCCAGGACTCAGTAAAAACACCTGCTTAATTTTAAGTATGCTAACTTTTCAGTACACCATTAGAATAAAGCCTATGTTTAAGTATTTTACCTCAACTAAGGTGCTTCCCTATACTTCCACAATGAAAAATTTGAGGACTTCATTCAGTGGCATCTAAATATACTGAGTAATAAGATATGTGTGGTCTCACTGAATGTGGGGGAAGCACTGAATCTACTGCACAGATTAAATTATACCCTCTAAAATATTTATAGACAGGTCATTCTGAGCTTGCAACCTGCTTCAGAGAAGGTCATCGATTTGAGCGTGTATTTCAAGTGTAAGTGTTTTGCCTCCAGCAGAGAGGACAGACACTGCCACACGTTTGTTCCCCTGCCTCAGCTGCTTCTGAAGCACTGAAACAAGGACACTGGGAATTTGGCAGGATTCTGAGCCACTGAGATGAATGGAGGTAGTTCATGTCATTCATGAGCTGTTCAACACTCCATTGCCATCACCTGGTGGATATTTGTACATGAGACTTCACCTGTTTGCAGTTGGAAGGCTGTTTTTAGAAAATGCTTAGACCCGAAATATAGCATTTTTTCACTATGAGTACATATTAAACCTGTGAGATTGAGAAAGGCAAGATAAGGCTTGCTGCTTAGCACTGACAATGTCACCAATGTCACCTAAGACAGGCAGACATTTAAATATTTAAATAATCAATGTATTAGTTATTTTATAATGACAATATGTTATATTTTATTAATTAATTTTAATACTGAAAAATCAATTCAATTAAGTAATGAAAATAATCAGAGTGTTTAGAATTGCAGAAGAAGCTGTATTAATGACAGCCTTAATGTGCTGGAAACTGTGGCCTGAAGGTGGCAGGTAACAGAGTTCTCACCTCGAGGCAGCAGAGTACGAATGGGATGACACATTGCTTTCCTCATCCATGTATGGCCTCAAATTGCTGATAATGTGGGAAGTGCTGAGATGGAACTTTCTGCACGTTGTGCTTACCATACCTACTTTATAAGGTTATGCAGGGTCCTCCTATTCTACCATGTGTTAATACCTTTCCAGGGGAACTGCATTTTCTTTATTATGGTCATATTTCTACCTTTGATGTCACTTAAATGTTTCCTTTAAATGCTGGACTCTAATTCCATTTATCCCCTAATGAAAACACCTAAACAACCTCATGTGGGGCTCTAAGGACTGTGTGGGTGTGCAGGCAAAGTTACCTTCAGACAATTAAATGGTAGAGGAGAAATTTATGGATTTTCTTGAACCATAAGTGTTCTCTATGGATTTATTCTCTTTCATTCTGGAATTTAAAAAGCATACCTAATTTTTGTTGAATAAAAGTATAGGTCAGGAAAATGCAAATTAAGGGAAATAGGGAAAAATGGGACTACCTTCTGAAAACTGTGAGCACTACAAACAAACTTCCAAAAGGTAATGATAAGGAATTTATTTTCAATCAAATTTTATTCAACCAGTGTTGAAGTAAACAATAATAAACTCATCTGTCATTTACTGCTGAATGCCAAACATGCAAAGCTATGTCTGGCTGTTCACTGAGTAGGTTTTAGGACTGAAAAAAGACTGTTTATAAAACCTGGGAAGGGGAAACTAAGATAGATTTCAGTTGAGTGATTGGAGGCAACTAGTTGAAGTCAAGATAAGTAATTTCAGCATCTCAGAGTGATTTTGAAGACCATTTTCCCAGCATTATGTAGTCTTAAAATAACTTAATATCTTTCTTTTGCACAGAGGTCTAAACACAACAGTCACTATGGTGCCTGGTACACCATCTCACACGCTTTCAGACTTCACTGAATTCAGTTGCAATCTTCTTCAAAAACATATCAGGAGGAAGAAATGATTCCCTAGTTTTACAAATTACATGCAAGGGCTTACAGTGTACCCTCAGGATTTGCTTTCATCAGCCTGTTTGGGTTCAAACCCTCACCTCCTGCTTCTCAGTCACTGGAGCCTGGTGACTGTGTAGGGAGACAAGAAAAATTCCCAGAGCCAGCCTGAAAATAAACAAAAACAACCTCCTTTTGCTCAGCTAACACTGGAAGCAGAGTTGAGATTCCCAGGGCTCTCATTCCTGTGATTTTGGGAAGCTCCTTTCAAGAGCTTTCATTTCTTACAAGGATGGAATCTTGCATGCCTGCTTGAGATGAAATTTCTGTCTTCCTCAAATATTCCCCAGGAGTTCTGCTTTAATAAAACTGCAGTGGCACTACCTGAAGTGGAAGAAGTTGTACTGCATACAGAAAAGGTTTTATATATATATATATATATATATAAAATATGATGCCATTTATGATGATGTTCATAGAGCTCAGGAGAGAGTAAGTTGTTCCCATCTCAGTTTGTCAGACTTTATAAGCAATACATTTGTCCACTCAGAGAAAATAAAAACAAGATCAGGCCTACACTCTTCAGTCATATGAGAAAAATAAAACAATCTAAATGAAAAGTGTATATAGCTCTGAATGACACAACATTCATGCAATAACCTTTATATTAATTAGCACTCTTTAATTTCTTACAGAGTGCACTTCATTTATCTATGAGCACTGAAGCTGCCTTTCTAAGACAGGGTGGATTATTTCCAGTTTGTTAGTACATATCTATAGCATGCACATGAACAATTGTTGAGATACTTAATGATTCATCACAAAGAGTGTACAAAAAATGACTGGCCATATGATGTTCACTACTTAAGAGTACATTTTAAGTTTACAGCAAGAAATGAACTTCATCTAGTTCTCAAAACACTTGATTACATCTAATTTTACTTGGTAAAAAACAGATATAAATAATTTTATTGAAGGAAAATACATGGTATCTGCATTAGCAGGAAATAATGGACTGTAACTACGTTTGCTTGACCTACAGAGAAGTCTGATATGCAAACTGTGCTGTGCTTCTTTGGCAAAATGCACCATGCAAGACATTAGTAGC